TTAGGAGGGTCTCCGGTATGAAACACTGTCACCCACTGGCACTAATTCAGCTTTCTGAGACACAGGGAAGAGTTTATGTCTGCTTTTAGTCGTCAAGCTAAACATTTCCAGGCTCTTTGAAGATAGCTCCTGTGACAGGACTGCCAGACCTCTCACCATCCCCGCGGACCGCTCTGGAAGCTGTCTGATTTGTCAACATCTCTCTTTAAATGTGACAGCCAGAGATGGACACAATACTACAGATGTGGTTAATTAGAGCAGGGCACTATTAATTTTTGTGACATATGGGCACTATTCTATGACCAGAATCTAAATTTGATTTTTTTTTTTTTTGCAGCCATATCATGCTGCTGGTTCATATTAACTTTTTTTTTCCCCCTCAAAAAATCACCACCATGTAAAGCCACCTCCTTCCTCACACATCAGTGAATTAGGATGCACTGGCTAGTATAAAATATCTTTTTGCATAGCATGGCAACCTAGTTAATCCATGTTAACTCTAAGTTCTGTTATCTAACACTAACAGTGATCCCTTTTTTTAAAGCAAGTGCCCTAGGTCTTCATCAAAGTCATTCATAAAAATTTTGAAGACGAGAAGAACCGGTGTGAAAGCGTCTGGTTCTTTGCCGGCTGGGGACCACTGCTGGACCCACGCTCAGTAACCCACACACCTGGCAGGTGCCGGTTCAGCCGGAGTCACGCTTACAAAACAATTGTCACACACAAGAGCATCCTAAATCCCTGACAAATGCTTTGTTGCATGCAAAATTCACTTCTCTTTCAAAACAAAGTGTAAAATATCTGCACCTATTAAAACGATAGTCATGCAAAAAAATATAGAGGCACATGCATCCGACGAGAAAACCAGCAGCATCCGTGCACATGTTCCAATAGCAGACTGCGGGGATTGTTTTTACTCCATCCTGTCTTTGCTATAGTGACACTGTCTTAAAAGTTGAAGACCCCAGGAATTTTGCTTCCAGAGCCTTTTGCTTGGAGGCAGTTCATGTGAAACAGCTTCAAGAGCATCTGATCCTAACAGTCTGAAAACCCTAAGCTGAAAAAATAGTCCTTTCAAAAGACTTGTTGATCCTTAGAAACACCAATTTCTCCTTTTTTTATTTGGCTTAATATTTCTGCAAACCAGGGAGATAGCAGACTGGATCCTGAAGTTTAGAAAAAGACTGGATTTTTTTTTTTTTTCGTCTGTGTGTCCGAGATATCTCTTTGTCTTTGCTCATTGGAAAGAATGGAAATAAACACAAAATCACCATGTTACTATTTCTGTGAAGCCCCTGACTGAAACAGAGCTCCAGCCAAAAATCTCTCACAGACGAGTACACCCATAGCATCTATTCACCGAGAGCCCCTTTCAAAACACTAAGAGTAGAATCAGCAATAGAATTTGCACTGCTATTTAGAACGGAGGTAAGGATGAGTTTAAAGAAAAGGGGACTGATGGAGTAAGCGTGGTCAATTAGTTACAAAGAAAAAGGAACATGGTAACTAGTTATACTGGAGAAAACGTGATCTGTAAATACGGCACATATTAGAATCCCACCCAATTTGAATATTTGATTGGGAAATGTTAACATGCCAGGTTTTCTTCACTGTTGCCGCATTTTGGTTTGAACATGGTTTTCATCCATGGAAAGCCGGTGTTAGAGAAACTGGATACCTATTATCTTTATCTCTTTGAGGTTGTCTCTCACTAGTACTTTTTCATTACAGTAAGTGAAAATTCCACTTTGCTTAGAAATACAATTTGTCAACAGTACTAGATTAAAGCTAAATATATGAGGTAAATCAACAGCTTTTAAGTTTATAGCAAACTCTTACAAAAAATAGATAAAATGATCAAATACCAAGTCCAGTTATTATCTGACCACTGAAAATTTTACTTTGCTTAGAAATAAATTTTTCATACTAAAGCTTCAGCCATTTAAAATAGATAAAATGACCAACTAGGAAATCCACTTTTAATTTGACAAATGAAAATTCCACATTGTTTTTGAAATACAATTTTCCCACCATTGGAGAAATTCAACTAAATACATGAAGTAAATCAACAGCTTCACAAATAAGTGGCAAATGGTCATTAAATAGGAAAGATGTCCAAATAGAAGTCTAGTTATTATATGACAAGTGAATATTACACTTTGTTTTGAAATACAATTTCCCCACTAAACTAGCAGTTAAATGTTGGTGGTAAGTCAACAGCTTCCTAGATTCAGAGAAAATTTTCATTAAGATGGATTTAAATGTCCAAATACAATGCCCAGTTCTCATTTGGTAAAATAGATAATGCACATTAGCAATGAAATGTAATCTGGCATTACATTTTGCTTTACATGTAATCTTGTGCAAAATAGGTAAGAAATAGTCAACACCAGGAACAAATACCTGAGAAAATCTAAAATTCACTTATGATTCTAAATGTCAAAAGGGTATTAAAGTCTTTGTTAATATTGGGGGGTAGTTTTCAATGTTGTTTTGTTGCTTTAGGTAATGCAAAAATGTTATCTAAAGTATTGTCTATTAACCCTGTATTTTGTTTTTATTTTTAACATTTTGTTGTTTTAGATAAGAAAGGTTAATCAGAACTAGTTATCTACTGATTTCTTCTTTAGAAAAACTGTATTTCTAAGGCAAAGTAAAAATTATTTCATATGTAGAATAAATAACATAAGAAAATACACCAAAATGGTCACTATGTGTATGTTAGAATAGTGAAATCAGAGAAAATTCTCACTTCTCTAGGTATAGATCTTTATGTACTGCATGGTCATTTAAAATTCTACTTAGAAAAAATAATCAACATTTCATTTTTTAAAAGTCTTAAAATGTCATGTTATTTGACAATTAAGTATCCTTGAAAAAAAATGGAGAAAATTCATTTGATCCCTTTTTTGATTTTAGAAATTATATACATACAACTCTCACAAAAATAGGTATTAGTTCAATTAAGTCTGAAAAAACAAATTCCTTAATGCTTCTCGGGGTAATCTTAGAATGAAGAGGTTACAGGTGATCTTGATTTTCTTTTTCTTTTTCTTTTTTCAATTTTCTGGAATATTTTTCCCTTACTTTTTGTACAATGAATAGAAATTAATTTTTTTGTGCAATGAATAGAAATTATGGTAAAACTAATACTAAACCTTTTTTTCAAACAACAAAAATCCCGGTTAATAATTTGAAATGAAAAAAAAATATCAATTGATTCAAACTTGTTGAAACTTTAAAAATCTTGGGGAAATGTATAAACTTGAATTTCCCCTGCCATCTACACTGATTTTTCACCTGACCTTTTGGAAAAGACTATCGGTTAACAATTAGATGAAGTAAATTTTCAGGATTAAAATAAAGCTAAATATTTGACAGTCCCACACAACGGTACTCCAGCAAACAAAAGCAATCCTGATATTGTTCCATCTTGCAGAAAAAGCCTGTGCATCCTAAAGATGAAAAGGCGCTTCTAAAAAGAAAATTGTGATTCCCCCCAAGTTCCTAGATAAATATCTCCCATTGTTGGAAATCTGCACTTCATTCATTCATCTACCTAATGGTCAATATTCTATTTCTCGGCAAAGATGCTACAATTTTATTTCTAAGAAGCCTCGCTTTACACAGGAGCCTGCCACCCAGCCGGCTACGGATAACGGGTCAGATTCTTTATTCTCTCTCCGTACAAAACCATCTGTGGCAATGTTACTACACTACGCTGGATTTTAGCCTTCAAATACAAATGTCTGTTTAAGGAAACTTGTTCAGCTGCAGACACTTTGTTTTCCCATTTCAACCTAAACTTGTTTTGCTCGGATTATCAACAGATTGTCCGTATTCTCTGTGGGCGCCTCACACTTTGGGGGGCTTACATGGAAACCCGCGCGAAGGCTTTTTTTTGGGGGGAAAAAAAAAAAAAAAAAGGCCTCCTTCCCCAACCTTTCATGAGTCTTGGAAGCCACTTCCATGTCCTCTGCTGTAAAAACATACATGTTTGTATGTGGGGACGAAATCTCAGCATCCATCGCAGCCAAAAGGCTTGACACGAGGTGGCTGTGACTAACATGTGGCCGTGCTCCTTACCAGATTTACAGAAATGTGCCGTGGCGGGGAGACTAAATCTCTGCGAAAACCTCGTAATCGCCACAAAAAGGGCCGTGGCTGCGAGCCCCTGAGCCCGCCAAGCCCGTCGGAGGCATCCGCAGCTGTTTCTGATTGTCTCTGCTTCCTTGAAATAGGGCACTTGCTGGGGCAAATAGTGCGTTTTCGGCGTCTCTATCCCCCAGCCGGGGCCAACCCTGACCCCGAGGCCGGCTTAGACCCCGGATCTCATGACCCTGCTCCCCTGCTCAGTGAGAACTAAGAGAGAAACCGGGGATCCGCCGCCCAGAAATGCGCTCAGGAAGAAGGGTAAATCAGTTGTTTCAAATGGACATTTTTGTTTTTCTGTTCTCTCCCCATCAGATTCAAGAAAAGGAAAAAAAAAAATGTGTTTTTGTAGAGAGGGGCGAAGCCCGACACCCCTTTCTTATGGCTCGCCTTTGTGCCGCCAAGACCCATTCGTGGGGTAACGAGCCCCCCATAAAACTGGGCAAGGACCCCCAGCCCTTTGTTGCCCCCCCCCACCTCCAACCCTTTGTTTCAGGGATCAGAGAGGTCCACCACCAGGGTTGGAGATGGGGGGGGGGGGAAGGGAGGAGAGAGAAACAAGGTTGGGAATGGAATTTGGAGATAAAATTTCTGCGCTTTCTGGGCAGGGAGGGGCCCTTAGGGTGGGGGGGGGCAAGAAAAAGAAAAGGCCAAGCAAGGGTCAAGCCTGGGAAGCAACGCACGAGGCCCAAAAGTGGGGCGGGGGGCGTCTTGAAAGAGGGGTGCAGTGGGGACCCAAGGCAACAAAGAGGGGACGACGCCCAGAGCACCCAAAGCCTCGGTGGGGGGATGGGAGGGCGGCGGCCAGCTGGCCTTGGCACCTCCCGTGGCGCGCGCGGGTCACTAACCTGTCAGCAAGAAGGTGCCCGTGGTCCAGGGGCTCATCCTGCGCGTCCCCCGACCCTGTCCTGCCCACGCACGAGGGTCTCCCGACTCCCACCGCGGGGGAAACTGCATGCTTGGCCTGCCTAGGCCCCGCCGTCCTCGATCTCCCCTCCCCTCCCTTTCTTCTTTCTTCCCAGCTTGGCCAGTTGAGCATCAGCGGCACCCTGCACCCCCTCCCGTGATCTCGTCCGCCCTCTAGCGGCGGGCCTGCGAAGCGAGGCGGCGCCCCCACCCCCACCTCCCGCCCCCGCACCCCGTCCGCCCCCCCCAGCTCGCGGGGCACGCTGGGATGTGGCGCCCCCTCCTCTGCTCAGCCTATATAAGGCTGCCAGTCGGCGCTCCGGGTACACGCGCTTCAACTTCGGTTGGTGTGTGTCGAAGAAACCCGACTGCGACCTGGGAAGGAGAACATCGGAGAGCATCGGAGAGGGTCCACCGAGCCCCGCGGAAGGTCCGCTGAGCGGGCTTCGCAACCGGAGCCTCTCCGGGCTGCGGGGCAGCCAGCGGATCCCACGCCCGGCACAGGTGTGGGACCCCGTCCTTCCCGCCCTCGCAGAGGAGTCCTCGCGTGGTGAGTATGCGGTGAGAACGTTTTTTGTTCTTTTTTTCCTTTTTTTTTTTTTTTTTCCCCAGATCGCATCCCGTCTCCCCGTTCTTATCAGGGAGATGGAGAGTAGCGCCTCGGAATATCTCCACGAAAAACCTTGTCACGCCTTCACTGGCTTGAACCAAAAAAAAAAAAAAAAAAAAAAAAAACGGAGTGGAGAAACGAAGCCTTCACGGCTTTGATTTTTTTTAGAACCTAAGTCCAGATGTGGACTGTAGACGGACATGAGCTGCGGACGGACATGAGCTGCAGACGGACATGAGCTACAGTCCAATTTGGAATTTGCTCTGCAAATTGCGCTACTCAAGTGATACGCGCTGCAAACTAATTGGCGCTTCACGCGCCGCAGGATGATAAGCGCTTCAATTGCGCGAAAGGCTGATAAGCGCTTCATTGGCGCTACCGGCCAGGAGGCATTGCAGCGATGTAGGAGCTGCAGATTGATCTGCGCTTTAGATGCGCTGCAAAATCTGAGCTGCAAACGATGAGCGCTACGGGGGGGGAAAAAAATGATCGCACTACAGCGGTGCTTCGTGGAGCTACAAGCTACCACGCACGGGAACTGCAGAGGTACATGAGCTGCAGAACAATTTATGCCCTCGAACGCGCTGCAAAGTAAGAACAGCTGCAGAGATATGCAAGCTGCATTGGCGCTACAAAGAAACCAGCTGTAGAGGGATGTAAGCCGCGGAGTAAAATTACTCCGGCTTCTTAGAGGGGGGACCCCACCCTTTGTCTCTAGCGTACCTTTTGGAATGCTTCCCACTACGTTTTTCTGCAGGTCGGGTCTCTGCGTGCTGGTGGTGGTGGTGGTGGTGGTGGTGGTGGTAGACAAAATGGAGCCCCGGGCAAAAAATTAGCGTTTAACGTTCTGCCCACACCATTCCTGCTCTATAGCAGTGGAGTGGAGTGGAGGGGCCCCGACTTGAGCGGAAAGGGGGATATTTTGGCGGCGGCGGCGGCGGCGGCGGCAGAGCGGGCTGCCTTGCCTAGTTGCGCTAGATGGAAGCGGCGGTCTAGTTGCGGTGATGGCGCGAATCCGCGGCCAGCAACAGTTTGTGGAAACTGTTGGTTTGCTTAGTCTCGGGGAGGGATCGGATCCGGAGGGGATTGCTCTTGTTGCATGAAATGAATCTGGCTGTGGGAGACTTGGCGGGAGGGGTGTCGGGAGGGGGGGTCCTGGGAGAGGCTTGCAGCCAGGCTCAGACCTGCCCCGCCCATTCTAGCGCGCCTTCTCCGCAGTATCGGCTCAGAGCCGCTTAGCGCCACCTAGCGCCTACTGCGAGCGCGCCTCCCCGGAGCGCGCCTCCCCGGAGCGCGCCTCCCCGGAGCGCGCCTCCCCGGAGCGCGCCTCCCCGGAGCGCGCCTCCTCCGCAGCGCTCCTCCCCGCAGCGTGCCTGCTAGACCCTCCTCCCCCGACACGTCACTCTGAGCCCGCCTCCTCTGACGCGGCTCACAAGACCCCGCCCCTCTCTGAGCCCCCTCCTTGGAGGAGGCTCCCCCAAACCCCGCCCCTCCAAGCCTGCCTCCTCTGAGGTGTGGCGCCCCTCCCCCAGACCCTGCCTATCCAAAGCCCGGCCCCTCCCTGAGCCCGCCTCCTCTGACGCGGCTCACAAGACCCCGCCTCTCAGAGCCCCCTCCTTGGAGGCGGCTCCCCCAAACCCCGCCCCTCCAAGCCCGCCTCCTCTGAGGCCCTGCCTATCCAAATTCGGCCCCTCCCTGGCCCGCCTCCTATGAGCTGGCCTAGGGCCCCGCCTCCCCGGAGCTGCTGCGCCTGCGCAGTGTGAGCTACCCCCCCACCCGCTCCCTCCGCCAAGCCGGCCCACCACTGCGCATGCGCGCCTTCACTACCTGAGCCTGGCTGCACAGCCCCGCCCTCCTGCGGTTTCTCTTCTGCGCCGTTTTTTTGCTTTTTATCCACAGGTGTCTAATAAATATAAGAATAATATGTACACAGATAATAATTTAATAAAAAGAAAAGAAAAGAAAAAAGAATAATCAAGAATAAAAATAATAAAGAACAGTTAATAATAATACCTGGAATTCATAAGCACTTTTTATAAGTGCTTTGCATATTAAGTAACATAAGTCCCACAATTTAAATTCTCGATAATGGGCTTCTATGCTGACATGGCTGGCATGGCGCCTCTAAAGGCAATCCAGCTAAATGTTTTCATTACAAATGAAAAACAAAATATTTTAAATACTTCAACATTTAAGGTTGTTGGTTTTGTTTTTTGTTTTTCGTTTTGCGACCTTATTGGGTTTTTGTGGCGGTACCTGCTGGAATTCCATGCCTTGGTGGATACAAAATAAACAACTTGTGGCTTATTGGTGCCTGGCCTCTGAGCGAGGATGGGGTGTTTAATTGCGTGCTTATGAAGCTGGATTTTTTTTCTCTTGGAACTCTAGGTTATTAGCTCTGGCTGACTTGTCTACATATTTATTAATTGTGCCTGGCATATGGTAGGCACTCATTAAGTATGTGTAAAGTGACCAAAGTAAATTATTTTATTTGGTGTTTGCCTTGGTGTCTGCAGGGTATTTTATTTTATTTTATTTTATTTGGTGTCTTGCGCCTGGCTCTTTCCTGTGATGGATTGCTTGCCTTATCTCTCTCACATTTAATAGGAATTTAAAGTATGCATCTTAAAACTCCAATGTAAGCTGTAATTATAACACAACACAACTAAATTAATTCAAAATACTCAAAATAATTACCTATTTTTAAAGTCAAAAGCTAATTATTTAAATTCGGGGCAAATGGATTATTTAATGGTACATAATTGTCATTTAAAATTTTAAATTTGTGTAATGTAACAAAGTGGTTACATTACAAAATATAGATTGAGGGTTTTAACTGGCATTATTAAACATCTCTTTAAAATAAATCCATACTTTATGGCCAGTCATATGTACCATGTTTATCTTTCTAATTAAATAAATTTAAAAACCTGGTTCTATATTATTATAAACCATGAGCCAGGACTTTGTTATGGGAGGAATTTGGGGGCTTTGGCTCCCCCCCCCCCCATCTGTCACATCCCATCCCACCCCACCCCACCCCAACAAGTATACAAACATGTAATTATCATAATTACAGCTTTCAGCGAGTCCCCTGGCCCCTGTGACCCCCCTTGGCATCCTGACACCCCCACCCCCCCCCTTGGAAACTTGGTGTCTTCATTTTAAAGAGGTTCAAACCTGTGGTGAAAACATGTGCATATGAGCTTGCATTTCACAAAAGTACACATAGTACTTTAAAAAAAAAAATTGGACATTTGAAAACGTAAAACAATAAAGACTTGCTTAATGAAGTGTCATTTCCTAACAGAATGTTTAATGTACAGCGGTCTTTGGTGTGTTTGGAGTATAGACATTTTTAGAGGTCATCCTGAAGAGGCCAGGATTAAACAAATGTATGTATTTAATTTCTAAAAAGACTAACACAAAACTCTTTCATATGTAATGACGTCACCTGTCCCAGGTGGCTTGGCTTTATGCTTGTGTCCTTCCAGGTTCAGCAGTGGGGCCTCTTGACCCCCGTCTCCCCAATCTGGCCCCCCTCTTAAAGGGGGCATTTAAGGAGCTGTAATTTAAATCCAGTCACAAGGCTCCTGTTCCCTTATTAATCTGTGCTCCAGTTGCTGTTAAAACATTTTAAAACTTTCCTGACACTGAAAGTTAACCTACCTGCCCACTACCCTATCACCTTTCTTAAGACTTGGAGTCCCACTCCAAAATTAAGAGTTCCTGAGAGTGAGGGCTGAGGCCTGACATTAGTAAAGGTCAGGGGCCACAACTGGTGACCAAATAAGGCCTTGAATTTGTGTGACCAGCACTGGAGTTAATTTTTTTAAAAGACTTGAATGTATTTGGGAGGGGAGGCATGTATCCCCCAGTTACATAGATGCAGCCCCTCCTTCTTGTCTGAACTTCAGGCCTTTTCTCACTTTTCTGTTACCTTCCTGTCTACTAAAAACATGTCAATGTTAAACCCTTATTGATCTTGTTTCCCTAAACAATTCGGTGATTATTGGCTAATTTCCTAATGTGGTGTTATTTCTGACCTATCATTGTGTTTTGCAGATGTTAAAACCATCAAACCTGGGCCTCAATAAAGCCAACTCACTCCAGTGACTGGGATTGATTGACATGTAGGTTAACCTTTCTGACCTGGTCAATCTGTGCCAGGCCTCTTCAGAATCTGTATTTTCAAACTCCTAATATCTAGATGACAGAAATGGCACCTGAGTCACCTGACCTGTGCTTATTGGTTTGTTTTTGTTTTGTTTTTTTTGGGGGGGAACAACAAAACTCTTTAATTTCTTAAATTTAATAAATAAAAATAATTACATTATTTGAGTGTCACCAATACAATTGTCTTTAAGGCATTGGAAATGAAATTAAATATCAAACTAAGGTGTATTAATTGCAACTTCTACTTTTTAAAAACAAGTATTTTATCTTGAAGGTCATTGATTGATTATTTTATAGCCTAAGTTATTAAAGTAATTAAATATAAAGTTAAAACTATTAAAATGGCACAAAGTAAACATGTCCTTTAAGGACTCTGCTTGCTGTATAGCCACTCCTTGGAGAGGCCACACCAACAGCAAAGGGCAAAGGGCATATAGGATGTCAGTTTTTCCAAATTTGACAACATGATGCTCATTAAAAAAAATTAAAATAATTTAATTACTCTACATACATTTACCCCTGAACTCAGGAGGAATATGGGCACTGTGTGATTGTCACCATATACATAATTAGGACCTTTAGTCTCTTCTCTCCCATATCCCCACCCCCACACCATTCAACCAAAGGAATTCAGCCCTATCCCACTAGAACTTATAAACTTTCAAGTGGGGCTCCATTAATAACTCCTTTTTAAAAAGCAGGCATTGCAAACTGGTGACCTGCAAGTCAAATGAGGCCCTGGATTTGTTTGACCAACTCAATATTAAAAATAAATAAATAAAATAGTATCTTTAGGTGGGAAATGCAATGCCCAGATCGTCATAGTTGGAGCCCCTCCCTGTTTTAATCCCAACCTCTTTACACAGGAAGTAGACATTTCTGCTTTCTTATTAGTTACCTGATTAATATCAGCTAACAGTTTTTAAAAACTCACTATGTGCTTTTCCTGCACTATTTAATTCAACCCTTATTTTAAGTTTGAGGTGTACTATCATTGGGCTCTATGTATATAGCCCAGCTCCTCCTAGGAGGTAGCAATTGATATTTGTTAATTGCATACATAATGAGGAAAATTGATATGCACATATTGCTGCTCAGTGCCATTTCTGTCCCATAGGAATTTCTTTTTGGGAAATCAAATTATGGTCAGAAAACTAGTTTAGACAATCCTATGTGTTTTCTGGCAGATTTTTTATTTATTTGCTATATTATACTACCTATAACTTCTTTAATAACTGTTTTAAAAGCAGTTATCATTTTGGCTTTCTCTTGTGTAATTAATTTGGTAGCCATCTTACCTTGGACGTTTCTTGCTTGAATCTCTGGATTCAAAACAAGTTTAGAGTGTCTTGGCATTCTTTTATAGTCATAGTTAAGCAGTATACTGTTGATACAGTTATGTATTATTGAATCATAATGAATAGGTGATTTTTGAAGAGAAAAACATCATTTGAACATTAAAAAGAAGTGTTTTTTTCCCCCATTACCTATTGTTTCTTTGTATGGGGTTTTGTTTATTAACTATTAATGAAAGCAAGTAAAGAGATACTTTAAATACTCATGTATTTAAAGTACCTTATACTTTAAATACTCATGTATTTAAAGTATTCTTTAAGCTTTAAATACTCATGTATTTAAAGCACTTTACATGCTAAGTTCTTTTTATTGTGCTTCCTTGACTGTACGTGTTGAGTTATGCTTCCATCCTCATTTACAGAAACAAAAAGCATTTGAAAGCAAAAAGAAGAAAGGGTGGAAGAGGAGGCCAGGACCCAGGCCCTCATCCCCACAGAAGCGAAGCCACAGCTGGGAGGTCTCCTCCCACCCCAACTGCCACCCTGGGGCCCGCCGACTGCCCCCCGCCTCCCCCTCCTCCCCCCCCCAACGACCCCTCCTCCAACAACAACAACAACTGCCAGAAGGATCAGGGCAACCCCAACAGCCAGGAGCGCCGCCGGCGTGAGAACCTCTCCCAAGAGATCAACGACCTCCGCGAGAAGGTCATGAGGCAGTCCGAGGAGAACAACAAGCTGCAGGACCAGGTGCAGAGGCTCACGCAGGAGAACTCCAACCTCCGCGAGCAGGTGGGGCCCAACCCCCCAGAGGAGGAAGAGGAGGAAGAGGAGGAAGAGGAAGACGACGAGGAGCTGGAGCTGTGCGGCGCGGCGGCGGCGGCTGCTGTCCCCCTGCCTCCCGAGGTGGACGAGGGCTCCGAAGACCTGCCCGAGAAGTTCGACGGCAACCCGGACATGCTGGTCCCTTTCATGGCGCAGTGCCAGATCTTCATGGAGAAGAGCAACCGGGACTTCTCCGTGGACCGCGTGCGCGTCTGCTTCGTGACCAGCATGATGACCGGCCGCGCGGCCCGCTGGGCCTCCGCCAAGCTCGAGCGGGCCCACTACCTGATGCACAACTACCGCGCCTTCATGTCCGAGATGAAGCACGTGTTCGAGGACCCGCAGAGGCGGGAGGCCGCCAAGCGCCAGATCCGGCGCCTGCGCCAGGGCACGGGCTCCGTGGTGGACTATTCCAACGCGTTCCAGATGATCGCCCAGGACCTGGACTGGAACGAGCCCGCGCTCATCGACCAGTACCACGAGGGCCTCAGCGAGCACATCCAGGCGGAGCTCGCGCACCTGGAGGTGGCCCGCTCGCTGCCCGCGCTCATCAGCCAGTGCATCCTCATCGAGAGGAGGCTGGCCCGGGCGGCCGCCGCGGCCCGCAAGCCGCCCACCTCCACCACCACCACCACCACCACCACCACCCGCGTGCTGGTGCTGGCCCGCACCACCCACCACCAGGTGGGCACCACCCACCAGCAGCAGCAGCAGCAGCAACAGCAGCAGCAGCAGGTGGACCCCACCGAGCCCGTGGGCGGCGCGCGCATGCGCCTGACCCCGGAAGAGAAAGAGAGACGCCGGAAGCTCAACCTGTGCCTCTACTGTGGGAACGGAGGCCACTACGCCGACAACTGTCCTGCCAAGGCTGCCAAGGCCGCCGCCGCTGCCGCTGCCGCTGCTGCTGCTGCTGCCGCCGCCGCTGCTGCTGCTGCTACTGCTGCTTCGCCGGCGGGAAACTCCCCGGCCCCGCTGTAGAGGGACCTTCAGCGACCGGGCCGGAATTAATAAGGTCCCCACCGGATGATGCTTCATCTCACCTGCAAGTGATGCTCCAGATCCACATCCCGGGCAGACACACCCTGATTGTCCGGGCCATGATTGACTCTGGTGCCTCCGGCAACTTCATCGACTACGAGTACGTCGCCCGCCACGCCATTCCTCTGAGGATCAAGGACTGGCCGATACTGGTGGAAGCCATCGACGGGCGCCCCATAGCATCGGGCCCCGTCGTCCACGAGACGCACGAGCTGATCGTCGACCTGGGAAACCACCGGGAGGTGCTGTCCTTGGATGTGACTCAGTCCCCGTTCTTCCCCATCGTCCTGGGGGTGCGCTGGCTGAGCACCCACGACCCCAACATCACCTGGAGCACCCGATCCATCATCTTCGACTCCGACTACTGCCGATTCCACTGCCGCGTGTACACCCCCATCCCCGCCTTCCTCGCCCCTGCACTGCCTCCCTTCTTCTTCGCCATCGAGGCTTTCCGAGTGTACCAGCCCGTGAGGTACTACTACGTGCAGAACGTGTACACCCCCGTCGACGAGAACGTCTACCCCGACAACCGCCTCGTGGACCCCAACATCGAGATGATCCCCGGAGCTCACAGCATCCCCAGCGGCCACATCTACTCGCTCACCGAGCCCGAGATGGCAGCTCTGCGGGAGTTCATCGCCAGGCACGTGAAGGATGGTCTGATCACCCCAACCATCGCGCCCAACGGTGCCCAGGTCCTTCAGGTGAAGAGGGGGTGGAAGCTGCAGGTTTCCTACCGCTGCCGCGCTCCCCACAGTGTCACCATCCAGAATCAGTACCCTCAGCTCTCTGTTCCAAATTGGGATGACCAGGCCCACCTGGCCACCTACGCTGAGTACGTTCCTCAGATTCCTGGATACCCCGCCTACCCGGTCTACCCGGCCTACCCCGTCGGCTTCGCCTGGTACCCAGTAGGAAGAGATGGACATGGACGCCCGCTCTATGTCCCCGTGATGATCACCTGGAATCCCCACTGGTACCGCCAGCCTCCGGTACCCCAGTATCCTCCGCCGCAGCCGCCGCCGCCTCCTCCGCCGCCGCCGCCGCCGCCCTCCTTCAGCCTGTGAATTCTTTCACGTCCTTCAGGATCTCTGCCCTCAGCGTGTGTCATGGGCAGCTTCTCCATCAGTGACTGTGTGCCAACCTGGGCCCCTGTATCTTCAGGCCAAACCTGTCACCTCTGAAGAGCCACAGAAGGTTAGAGCCACCCTGGACTTGGCGCCCGTCCTGAAATCACCAAAGGATCTCTTGGGAGCAACAAACTATTTGACCAACAAATTAACCTTCTTAACTGCCAATTCTAACCCAAATTCGCAAGTTGACTTCCCAGGTAATCTTGGAAATATTTACAGAGAAGCTGATGCCAACACACGAAATGCTGTTTTCTCTAAAGAGGGGGAGACATGGAGGAGGAGGATAAAACTTTATTACAGTTTCGGTTCTCTTTAAAGAGAACCGCTGCCTTATTAAGGAAGCCACAATTGACTGGTGCAGTGTGAAACGGCTTCCGTGATCTTTCCGCTGCACCCCTAAAAGCTTCACCTTTGAACTTCTCTTTCGTGATTTTGTTACTTCTCAAGGAGCAGCAACGTGACCAGTTCTCCCGGGAGCAGGCCACATCCCTGCAACATAGCACCTCGGGCTCGAGAAGGAAGTGCCCTTTTGGATGGACTCTTGCATGTTGAGTGTGCCTTCACAGGTGTGCCCACACTCATTCCTGGGAAGGATGTCTTTGAGGAAGAGGAATTGGGGCACAGGACACTGTCTTGAGGGCATGGGCTTCTGTCGTGAGCTCCAGTTGCCAATGAATGAAAGGCCCCAGAAGACAAGTCAAATGACTCAGCAACAGACCGCTCAGAGGTTGTGTTCAGCCCAGTGACATCATCTGGTGTCTCCCCGGGGACTGCCTTGACTTCCTTTAGCCTGGTCCCTTGCTACTACCTTGACCTGTTTGTCTAACCTGTCTTTCTTTTAATTCTTTACTACTGCCATTACCCTGCTGCAGGATTTGTGTCATCCTTCCTGCCTGGCTGCTGAGGCTCCATTTTGCTGCCACGCGTGGAGAAGAAGGAAGCAGGACTCGAGGAACGTGTGTCAACACACAGTTCCAATTGCCAAAACACCCCTTAAGCAGTAGAAAACAATGTGATATGTGTATATGTATATATATGTGTATTTCTAATTGCCTATTAGAAAGAGGAGTTGAATGGTGAAGTTTCATTTTTTCATCAACCTCATCTTTCACTATTCATTATCATCCACCCTTATTCTTGCATGTTTAAATTCTTAAATGTTTTTTAACTGTAGATTAGTTAAGAACTTGAATTTTTTAACGACTCTAGAGTGGGACTGCTCATATTGTTAATTGTTGAACTGTAAAGTACTAGTCAATTTTTACTGTGTTATAGAGTTAAGCTAATTAAAACCGAGGAAGTAATGTAATGTAAAATACTGTGAACTTCTCTCAACAAACACTGTGAATTAGAGGCTCCTTGGAACTGGAGTTTTGTATAATAGTTCATCTTGTTCATCTTCAACTTTTATTTTAACATCGTGTGTAATTTTAGTTTTATCAATTAGGCCTCTAAAAAAAAATCACACACTCACACAAATATGCAAATCCAAAGAAGATACCTAATTGGCTTTTTATTCCAAATCAGTTTTCATTTTCTTTTTCAGTGGAATCAGCCAACTTGTCAGTCACTCATGTGTTTTTAAAGTATGTCATTATTTTTTAAATGGTGCATTTGTGCTTCTGGACTATTTTGAAGCGTCACTTCACATTTTACCTCAGATATCAATATCAATCCATCCTCATTATCTTTGAATTCAAGTTGTGTTGTGTCAAATTTATAGTTGTCAATTGATCTTTAAGCTGCAGGGGGCCTAGAAATGGCCCATTTGTCTGCAGCCCCAACATGTGCACACGGACATTTGCCATAACTGCAAGCAGAAGTCTGGAGCCTTTGTCCAGTGACGACAGTGGTCGTCACGAAGAGCATGGATGAAGCCGCTGACACACATCTGGCTGTTTAGTGAAGCTTGTGAAAGACTTTTGGCAGTGTGCACTATGTTGTTTTGCTATATATGCTATCTGTGAATGTAGATGTTAAAGATATGTGATCTCAAATTTGTTGTTCTGTAGCAGCAGAATTTTAATAAGTTTCCTTTCAGTCGATTGATTTAATTTGTTGCTGTTGCTGTTGCTGTTGATCAACTTATGTTAATTGGATACTTTAAATTTTTTGGGCATTTTCCAACAGAGATGCCTTTATTCTTAAGAAAGAAAAGACCAAAGTAATTAAATTTCTAAATAAACTAGGGAGCAGAATAAAAACATAAAGGAGATAAATAAAGCAATATCAATTATTAAACAAAGCCAATAGTCGATCCTTTGAAACAAATTGGCAAAATTGATTGACTTTTGGCCCAAATTCAGAGAGTTAATTAAGAAAATCAAGGAAGAAGAAGGTATGAGCTCCCATTTTCAGTCAAACTTGGAAAACTAGCAAAGTTCATCATGCTAGAATATGTAAGAAGTTTACATTTTTAACAGTCAATTCAATTTGAGCAATTAGGTACTTGTAATGGATGCTGGAAAATGAAGAATTGGTTTGATTAAATCATGTGAGGTAGCACTAACAGGTGCACAAAGTAAGGGGCACATCTATAGAGGGCAGTCTGAATTTCTGTTTAAGTTGGCAGGTACCTCTTAGACTCCTGAATTGACCCAGTTGTCATCTACCACAGACATCTAACATCAGATTGAATTTCAAGACTGGCAACAAAGAACACTGCTGGGAAAGACCTGGGCGGGAATGAGAGACCACCTACAGAGATGAAAGCCAGTGGGAACCACTACATTTTCATCTCAGGAAGAGCACATCTTGTGGGAAAGTTCTTTGTTGTTTCAGATTGTGGAACGCTATCGAATTAGTCTGTGGAAAATAGCGTTCTTTGTGTAATCACTTTAATGCATAGGGGATATATATAATCATTAGTAATTTTAGGGTGGGAGGGATTAATAAGTAATCTTAAGTGGGTGGGATTAGTTACACAGCATGATTATATCTTAGATATCACTATAAGTAGACATGTGCACTTGTGATCCTTTATCCTGTGATTGCTACCTTTAATAATTTCAAATAAATTCGGAGGGAACTGCAGGGAGATGAACCTGTTTAGGGTGACTTGAACATGGAAAAAAAAAACAACAACTAGTGGAATAAAGTTCAAAGGTGATCAAACAGATCATTTAATAGATGGCTCTTTGCCTTGAGTATTAACTCCAGGGATTAAGATTGTGAGCAAATCTTTAGTGAGTTATAGGGTGGATAGATACCCTTTGAGAAATTGTTGCTGAGATGACATTGATGTGATGTATGGTGAATATTCATGGAAGTTATGCAAAAATGATGAATAAGAAATGGAAGTGATGAGTAAGAAATGTTGCTCCCATCAGTCGCCCTCCTTTTTACCTCTTCCCCCTATCCCTATCCCTATCCCACACCCCTATCCTCCCTCATTATTATTGCTGTATTCTCTTTATTTCTCTCAATTACTAATACTGATGTTATAATAAATTCAATCAATAAAGATTTAGTGGTTAAGTGCAAATTGTGTCCTGATCATTTCAGCGCCTACCACCATCAAGGGAACAGGGTAGAGAAATGGAAGGGTGAGGGAGTGGACAGGATGGAGGGAATAGGGGTGGAGAGTGAGGTGAGGGAGTGGATGGGGTGGAAAATTAGGTGGGGAGAAAATGAACAAGGTGGCAGAGTGAAGGAAGGGGTGAGGGAATAGATGAGATGGGGAAGTTGGTGGGTGGAGAGTGTGAGGTGAGGGAGTGGATTGGGTGGGGGGAAATGAACAATGTGGGGGAGTGGAGAGGTTAGAGAGTGGACAGTATGGGAGCGTTGGGGGTGGAGAATGTAAGGTGAGGTAAGGGAGTGGATGGGGTGGGAAATTGGGTGAGGGGGAATGGACAGGATGGAGGAGTGAACTGGGTGGGAGAGCAGACAGGGTAGGGAGTGTTGGAGGAAGAAAATGGAGGAATAGGAGGGTGGGGGATATGGGAAGAAGGGGTGTAGAATTGAGGGTAAGTTTCCAAGTTTGGGAGGCTGGTGGGAAAGTGGGATAAAGAATACATTCATAAAAGAATATAAATAAATAATAATAAAAATACATTTATTAAGCAAGACACTATCAATTATCCACAATACTTCAGGAAATCAACTAAATTATTACAAAGTTGCAAAAGTATAAAATGAAGTCACAGTAGCAACTATTGACATAATATAAAGAATTAATGATGCAAAGCTTTAACACATAAAAAAGCCACACAATATTCTATTGACAATATATAAATTCATTTTTAATATCAACTTTACATGGAATACTTGAGATTTATTAATTGCAAATTATACAAACATAAGTGAGGACAAAAAGGAAGACATACCAAATGAAGTCAGATAGTGATGTGCAAGAAATTAACACAAATCTTTAACAATTAGTACAATATTAGAGTGACTATAAAAGTCATCTAAAGAAAAGTGACAAGTGATGTTGTTGAAGTGATCATCCTATCAGATTTTCAATACATAATGACATTACTCAAAGTTACATATAGAAACCTGAACTAATCATTTTAATGCATATAAGTTGAACCACCATTATGCTACACACCATAAATATTAGGTGGAAAAAATACAGCAGATTTCCATCTCATCCCCATCCTTACCCCCATCAAAATAAACCTGAAGCCGAAGCCGGTTTGGCTCAGTGGTAGAGCGTCGGTCTGCGGACTGAAAGGTCCCAGGTTCGATTCCGGTCAAGGGCATGTACCTTGGTTGCGGGCACATCCCCAGTAGGGGGTGTGCAGGAGGCAGCTGGTCGATGTTTCTCTCTCATCGACGTTTCTAACTATCTCTCTCCCTTTCTCTCTTTTAAAAATCAATAAAATATATTTTTTTTAAAAAACAAAAACAAAATAAACCTGAAAAGGAGACTCTTAATGAGGTATCAGTTTTGAAGAGCTGCTGGGTTCACATGACATGGTGGTCACATA